TTGTGATGCTTTTGTTACAGTTCACCTGCCAAGCAAAATATCTTCTTTCAAGATGCTAGTTAGGGTTCTTTACATTCTGTAGCACAGACTCAGACAGTGGCTGACAGTAAATGAGAGAAGCCATAATATTGAAGTTTAATACTGATTCTTTCTCTACTTTCCCAAGCTTCCTCGTAATTGTACCTAAATTCTGCTGAGCTCTTTGTTTTGGTATCCCCAGGCTTAGATATAAATGATGGGGGGAATCTCAAGGGAATCATTGACTAGGACCTTATTATACCTGTGGGCCAAACCTACACATCCCATCTGCTGTATTGCATCATTTTGGAGGAGTAGGTGTTATGTCAGGCTTTGCGCTGCTGGGGCTGCTGCTGTATCCCTGAGACTTAGTGGGAGAGCAGACTGTGTCCTGGGCTTGGAAACTGTTTTATATAGCATATACTGATTTTCGCATGGGTAAAAGCTGAGATTAAACGTTTAGATTTTAAAGAACATTGAGTCCTGAGAATCCTGTCTCCTGGCAATCCTGTTTCTCACTAGTTTAGTGCTAGCAATAATGCAAGAAAATGGAAATAGGAGCAAAACAGAGGTGTATGCTCAGCTTAGTTGCATGGAGAGAGTGAAGCTGAACGATGGATCTGACTGCTGGATCTCTGCATAGGAAATTGACCTTCTTTCTTCTCCTCAAAGGGCCAATCACCAAAGCTCTAGTATCATCTGTGGGAGATCAGCTCCACTAATTTTGTAAAAAAAATCTTCAGATCAGTAATTCATGCAACTGTAAATGTAAGCAAAATTGCTTCAAGGTCTGATTGCAAAGACCGAACCTTTGATGACTGCCAGCATTTGAAAAAAGAGGCTGGGTAGGCTTGGTTTCCCTCAAGGTGAAATATCAGCAGAGCATCAACATGGGAGAGGGGGATGCTCGAGTCCTGACCAGCAGAGGGCTGCAGGTCTGTCATGTGGAAGGAAGAATAGTTGGACAACTTCTGGAAAGAGTCAGGTGGATGCTACTTGGAGTGGAAAATGCACCACTAGGCACTTGCAGCTTCTTGGCTGTGCAGTCCTGCAGCAGGAGAGTGACTGAGCTGTGAGCTGCAGGTTTATAGCCCAGTCTCTCTTGGCCTGATGCTTTTGAATGTCATGCAGGAGAAAATGTACAGTGAGCAGACCTTAGGCTTTGAACATCTCAGATGTTCATACACAGTTCAGCTCTGAACTCACTGCCTGTTGCCCTCTACCTCTTTTTGCACACTTGAACCTCTGCATCATTAAAATGGGGGTTTCTGCTGTGGGCACATAGCATGCCATTGCAATATCAGAAGTCTTTCAGAAGTTGGATGTTGGTGAAAGATAAAACTTGAAAAAGTTTTTGGTAGCCTGAGAAGGCGGTGCAGGTATCTGGGATGGCTGTTGCCAAAACAGAAGGGCTGTCCTGAACAGAATGAATTAATATTGTTCTTAGTTAAGTAAACATCTTGGATTCAGCCTTGGATTCTCTCTCTTCAGACTAATAGGATGTCTAACCTGGAAGTGCCATGAGACCTGAAAAAAGGTTGTGCTTTGTGTGCTTGCTTACAGGGTAAGGAGAGAAATGTGTCAACCGCAAAGAGAAGGCAGTGTGTAACCCTGGGCACATAAGGACAGGAACTCATGCCCAGGGACATTACAGTTGCCCTGCGAGGAGGATTAGAGGCTTGAACTGCAATGTGGATCCAGTTTAAAATGTTTTTCAGCTGTATTATTACACCTGGAGCTATAGTTTTAATTAGCTTTCTTTTCCCAGGAAACTAAAATGCTTAGACTCAGTAATAGATGTTGAGGTTAGGAGGAAGGTATCAGGGTAAAAGTGAGTGGACTGCTATTAAGTCACTGGACAAGAAGCTTTGCTGTTGGGCTTTTCCAGGAACCTCTTATCAGATCTGATTGTATCCTCTAATTACAGAGTATGCTCTACAGAGCAACTTTTGGCAGTTAGAAAGCTGCATAGCTTTCACATCTGGAAGACTAGGTCTAGTGCCCAGGTTATGTATTTTATAATGGGAATGGTCAGAGACACAAGCAAGTTGCTTGGGACTTTGTGAAGTCTCCGTATGTGGAGATACCCAGAACTTGCTGAGTCCTGAGCAGCCAGCTCCAGCTAAACCTACTTGAGCTGAGAGGTTGGACTACGTCATCTCCAGAGATCCCTTTCAACCACAATTAGTTTATGGCTGTGGAAACAAGACTTATTTCTAGGCTGTCTGGAATGAAAGATGAGTTAGGTAAAAGGGGTGTGCTCTGGTCACTCTTGCCAGCCTATGTGATACTTGGATTGTCTGTGAAGCAGAGAGTGTTCCCTACATCTGATGGGGATACACAGAGAAGTATCTGGTGAAGATATACATGCACTGCAAACTGTGCTTGAGGAGAAATACCTTCCTTTTTAGATAGGACTCTGAGAGCCCTGCTTTGTTTGGTTTCTTAATATTTTACAGACTTTTTTTTTATACCATATGTAGAAATGTCCAGGGCTGTGTCTTAGTATGGTATTCCCACCTCCTGTTAATATCTAGGCATTCTACAAACTGGACAAACAGAATTTCAAGATCACATCAAATGTCTAGTGAAGGTCTCAAATTATGAAATACTGATATTAAATTAGTTCTTCAGTCTTGTATTGGCACTGCTCTACCTCTCTGATTATGGAACAGTATTTGGTTACATGGCCACAGCTCATCAAACTACAGGACAAAATGCAGGTAGTGTGTATTCTCAACCTGTGCAAGCCAAATCATGTAAGAAAGTTGAGAAATATTGCATCACTGAAAATAAGTGCCTTTCAGTATTTGCACTGCGGTGTGACAGTGGGAAGAACTGGGATTTCCAAGGGGTTTGAGCCTAAGTCATAGGATTATCCCTAAAATATTTTAATGGATCTCAAAAGCTATTCTTTCTAATGACAAAGAAGGAGCTTTATGCTGTAGACACCTCAGAAGAAGTCTTTTTTTTCCTTTTGGCTGACATTTTCTAAACAGCCAGTAAATTGGTTTATGTACCTCATTTTATTTTAGAATCAGTATTGAAAGTACTTAGTTTACTGAGAGAAGGTGTGAGGTGAGAAGTAACAACATTCTTCTGTGTGAAAGTAGTACTCCCTGTTCTTAATACTACTATATTTCAAACAGCTACTTAGTTCTTAAATTGAGAATATAGAAGTAGAGATTCAACTGTTAAATTTTTCCAGTTATACAACTGAATTAAACTCAATTAACTGTAGCATAAGCATAATCTATGTTGTTAAAGTCAGTGCAGAAGACCATTTCCCAATGTTTCTCTTGTGTTTGTGATGGTTGAGGACGTATTACACCGTAGTACTATTTTCCAAGTGTCTGATGTGAGTTCCCAGTTATACTGACACGAGCTTCCCCAGGCTGAGCAGGGTAGAGACCAAGGAAGTTGCAGAGTGATCTTCCAGTTCTGCCAACTGGCAGTGGGCCATTTTGTTGGCCCGTCAGGTGTTACCTGTGAGTCTTGCTTTGTGATAGTTTTTCTTCACTTGATTTTAGCACCCTTGTGTGAAATTCACTTTACTTGGAAATGAAGTTGCAACTGTAGTTCTTGTGGACAGAAGGAAAAGCTCAGAGGTGTAGCAAAAGAGTATTGCAAAGATTTAGAAAACTGTAAGGCAAAGGCAAAAGAGTCCAATGTCCTTCAATCTCAGAAGCTTTTTGATTAAAAGATCTCTGATGATGTTTTATTATTTTAGGAGTTGGTTGCTATAGATGCTGAAATACGGTGATGATGGCAGGAAAATTGATAATGATTATGGCTTTCAAGAAGGAAGTATTTTATTCCAGTAAACAAAACTCCTACACAATCTTAGAATCACTAAACAGGAATAAATAGGAAATTTTCTTCCTTCAGACTTGAGGGTATATGCAAAACCCTTACGCTGAACCTTTCTAGCATCCTCATTGTAAGCATAGATGCCCTTCTTATGCCCAGCCACCTCTGTTCATTTCAGAAGGTGGCATTTCCCTATGTGTGGAGAATAGAAAGTTATCTGATGAATCCTTCTCTTCACAAGTTAAAATATTGTCACTAGACAAGTTGTGGTGGGTTTAAAATGTGTGGATATTATCTACCTGATATGCTTTTTACCAATTGATAACGTCTCATCAAGATGTATTGTGTCTTCTGATGAACCATACAAGTTCATACCTTGTTTTCATGACCAATGCATGCAGCAGTGGAGAGCAAGCTGAACAAGATGTTCCTTCTGAAATAAAAATGGAGCCTATGCAGACTGCTTGCTTACTTCTCAAAGCAAATAGTAAAGTGAAGACTGCCTTTTCCACTGCTGTCCCATATCTGCAGCCATGTGGTAGCTAGAGAGTGGAAGGCAATATGTCAGTTGTTGGTGCAGTAGACCATGCCAGAAATCTTGCTCAGAAACCCAGGCAGCTTTTCTTGGCCTGTTGAGGGCACTTACTCCTATTTTATTAACTGATGTAAATATGGGTAATGTCATCTCAGTGTTGTTTACAGTAATCCTAACCTGCTTTTTTCATCATTGTTTTTGAATTCATTCTGAAGTCATCTTTGTGACTTCCCCAGTACTGTTGATTGAGGTTGGGAATGTAAGAGTTCAAGCAAGGAAGCTCTAGTTATAGCCTTGGGTATTTGTTTAATTTTATAACAGAAGTTATTTTGGTTATATATACCCTAATCAGGTAAGTAGGCCTCTTTTTCTCTTATTTGCTGCATTTGTCCATTGTGTCTTATCTGAAAGTCAGCTCTGGGTTGGGGCAGGACCCTGATAAGAGCAGCAGCAATGAGGTGCTTCTTAAGTGACTTCTGGTTCTGAGTAACTGGGCCAGTGGCAAACTGCTCATTCCCCTGTGGATGTTGCCAGCATCTAGGTCACCCCGAGGAAGAGGTGGACTCATCTCACCCTGAGTTTGGAGCTGTCTTTGTTTGCATCTGCTAATACCTACCTGTACTCTCTCTTTTCACAGGTAGATGCAGTGCGTGTCTACGTGAACAGCAGTTCGGAGAATCTCCAGTACCCTGTCCTGTTTGTAGTACGTCAGCAGAAGGGAGTACTGTCATGGCAGGTCCCACTAATTTTTCGAGGCCTGTGAGTACTAGGACCTCTGCCTTGTAATGTGTTGGGCTACCGTTTATATCCAGCACCAGCCTCTTTTTGGTGCTAGCTCTTGCTGCATGTGGGAGTAGTTTGGTTGCAAACCATGCTTGATCACTGTCAGTTGAACACAGAAATTTGGTATATAACCTCAAATTTTTGGCAGTCTGCTTTGGTTTCTCAGCTATGTGTAGAGTACCAGGAGTATGTCTGCTGTGGATCTGCCTATGCTACTGTTCAGAAGAGTTTACAAATGCCACTGTTGTTATTTCCACAGTTGCTTATGTTGAGTGCAGGTAGTTCTTATTCTTTAGTTTGGACTGGGCCTTGGAGAAAAAAAACTGTCAGAGCCCCCTAACTACTGGATTGCAGTGCATTTGGGGAGTGTGGTCTCTCCTCTGTTTTTCATGCACGGTTGAGGTTGGTGATTTGTTTTGGGGTATTTTCTTTGTTTTTGTGATCCTTTTGTGTTGCCTCAGCAACCTCAGTGCTAGTGGGGCTGCAAGTAGGGAAACTCTGAGGGCACCTTAGATCATGTGAGATGTAAAGCTTCAGCCTGTAAGCAAAATACAGGCACTAAGTAGCAGGAAGTCTGCAGTGTCTTGTCTGATTTAGGGATTAGTTGCAACATCTCTCTTGGGGTGTTCTTTGTGAACCCAGCAAGTGGCAGAAATGCTAAACCAGCAGATGGCACAGGCAGTCTTGGGGAAAGTGAGATACTGAGAGTGGCCAGTCCTATGTGCAGACCACAAAAGGCAACAGAGGTGGAGTTTGAATGAAAGACAGAATAAGCTGACCTGTATTTAATTTACGCAAGCAGGGAAAAATCATATAATTTGCAGTACAATGAAGCAATGTCTTAACTGCTGACTCTTGCTTTCCATCCCTCCCTCCTTCTCCTGGCTGTTACAGCTATCAGAGGACCTACAATTACCAAGAAGTGAGTCGGACTCTCTGTCCGTCTGAGCCAGCACCTGAGACAGGACCATCTGACCAGATCATATTTGTGGATGTTGCTTCTATGGCACCATTTAACATTGCATATGAACTGCTAGTGACCAGACTTGAGAGCTTCCAACTCGAGTAAGCTGGGATGTCTGAATACAAGTGTAATTGCTTCATGTATCTGTCATACAGGGATTTGGTCCTTCTACCTAACCTTCCCTTCCTTACTCTAAATGTATTCTGTGAATATTCCAGCTTTGAAATATGCTGGTATTTCTTTTTTAGGACCAACAAGCCGTTTAACTTCACTGCCAGCCCTTCCCAGCCCCAGGTAAGGAGTCTTGCTTAGTGTTTCTTATGTCTTTCCATATCTAAATGATTCACATCATCCTTTGTTAGAGATGATGAAAGCCTTATCAGACTAGGTTCTTTCCCTCCTAGGATGCAGGGGAGTTTCCTTCCTATTGAACTGTTTCTGTGGACATGGTGAAGAGGTAGCAGCATGTTTGGGTCCTCTTGCAAAACCATTAAGTGAACTAAAATCTATGATGAGAGCAAATGAATGATATCTGTAGTTCAGGAAATTCCAGAGAACATAGGTCTACTGTGCTTTCATGGGAAGTGAGATAGTGTGCACTAGTGTTTAATTCCAGGCATCAGTGGTTCAGTTGCTCTGGCAGGACTTGTTAAGATGCAATCCTTCATCAGAAAAAAACAAATTTGCTGTAAAGGTACAGCGGAGCTCAAAGTGCTATTTCTTGTTCGGGTAGCATGTCAAGATGTGAGGTGGTAAATGAAGTGGCTGATAAATCTGGTTATTAGCTCGGTAGAGAGAGCTCACATTTACAGCACATTCAGCTAAACAACCTTGTTTAATGCCCTGCAGAAAGTACATGTCCTCCGTTGCATGAAAATGCTGCTGACAGTAGCTATAGTTATACAGGAGGTTGCGGAGATGGGAGAGTATGTAATTTACCCAGACTATCTTGGACTCTGTTTTTGCTGTTGCAATCACTGGTAGTAATGCCACTTATTTTTAAGTCTCCTATTATCAAGCATCCCAGTTAATCTGTTCTCAAATGTCTTATGTTGTGTGGCATATGAATACAGCATTTTATTCTGTAGAGATGTAGAGAATACTGGTTCTTTTATAAAATCTCTTTTAAATTAACATTTTGTAACTTGAATGCTGAGTATTGAGGATCTAACCTAGGATTTAGCATAGTTGCTTCGCAAAGATAAACTGTTGTCTGCTCAAGAAATCTTATTTCATTTTGTGAGGACTTGTGATCTCAGTGCCAGTGCTCCTTTAGCAGTGCTTGGAGTAGGGTGGTGGGAATAAATGCTTTAGTAGAAATAGACAAACTAGGGAAAGCTTGAATGATTTCTGACCTACCACTATCCTTGCAGTCCCTTCTTACTTCCTGGGAAGGAAGCAGGGAAATTCTGCTTTATATAATCCAGTTTTGTATTACGTAAAGGGTCTTTGCCAAGTGGCAATGCCTATTACATGATAGGAGCCACCTGGCCACAGTAGCTCCCTTCCCTGTAGGCTGTGCATGCCTTGGCTGCAGAAGTAACAGATCTTGCAACTGCAAGTGACCATAAGGAAGGATGGGAAGGTAGTTGGTGACAGTTATCTGCCTTGCATCCCCCACGAGATCCCCCATCAGGCCCTTGAGGTAGTCACGCCTGTGAGACTGAGCTCTCAGGGCAAGACAGTAGGAGCCCTTGCAGAAAGCCTGCCCACTGATGTGAGCAATGAAACTCTGATTCTCCAGCAGTTATTGTATTTTATTGGGTAAATTTGCAAATAGCCATGTTTCCTGGGACATTTTTTGCCCAAATTTGAAAAGGCCCCTGCAGGGACTGGGAAAGAAAGGCATCTCCTGATGCACCAAGATTGTCCTGTGGACCTGATCAAAGCTTGTAAGCATGCATTCCCTGCCTGAAGGAAAAGTAAGAATATTTCCAGATGCTATTCTCTCTTGAATTTTTTTCAGAGCTATAGCTGAATTATTTTCCAAGCTGAAGTGAGTAGAGAACTCTTCTGTTGCCTTCCCAGCTGCACTTGAAACCATCCAGCCAGACAAACCAAAATCCTATAGTCTTGTATCAAGCATTTACTTATGGGAGTCTTGACTGAGTTCAACTGTTTGACTTACTACTTTCCATCGTCACTCTTTAAGGCAACCCATCTGAGATAAAACTCCATGATATGTTCCATATGTAAAGTCCAGACAGTAGTATAGAAACATCTGCAAATTGCTCTTTGTGATGTAGAAAGGAACAGGCTATAAAAATGAAGTTGCTTTAACTTGATCAGGTGGAAAAAAGCTTAAGGGGTCTGTAGGCTATGCTGCATCTTGTATGTTGAAGATGTCTGTGATTAATGGTATGCTCCAAAGGGAGATAAAAATTATCTGTATCTGTTTAATCTGCTCTTCTGTAGTATAAGGTGCTAATATTTGAAATCTGAATTTTTGTTCAAGCCTGCTACATCCAACCCAAAGCAGAGATGTGGCCATGGATTTGCCTTAGGGAAGCTTTGAAGCTACTGGCAGGGGTCATTTCTGGACTGTAACTCTCAGTATTCTGTTTCCTCCTCAGTATTTTCTGTACAAGTTTCCTCAAGATGTTGATTCAGTCATCATTAAAGTGGTGTCTGATGCAGTCTACCCATGCTCAGTTGTCTCTGTTCAGGATATTGTGGTAAGTCTGAGGAGGGGGAGGGCGAAGAGCTGTCTGCCTAGCTCTGCTCCCATCAGTGAGAAGTTCTGTGCCCCATCAGAGAGGAAAAACCCTACGGAAGGCTTTGCCCTTCTGTGATGATTGTGGTTTCTGAAGGAGGAGTGAAAATCCTGTGGGAAGGAGGCAAAGACAGATACTGAGTTCTAGCAGCTCATCCTGAAATTTTTATTGCAAATAAGTGAATAAGCTGTACCTTTGCAGCGTGTCCACAGGACACTTGTTATCATGCTCTCTTCATGAGGTTTAACAGCCCACATGTCTGTTTCTCTGTGGGGTGACACTGGGTGGGATGCTGGCAGCGAAGGAAAAAGACAGTGCTGTTCCCTTGATTCTCTCCCTGCTGAAGACAGCATGGAGGACTTCCAATTTCTAACCATGAGGTCTATCCTCCTTTCCATTTCATCTTATTCTCTCTCACAATTGTTTGCTCTCTTTCCTAGAAAGGGGGTAACAGCTGTACCCTTCCTGGGAGGTTGGTTGTAGCTCACAGCTGGGAAGTAGCCCCCCATTTCTCCTCACTTCCTATCTCCCTGAATGATGTAAGGAGGAGCAAAACAGTAAGAAGTGCAAAATGCCCTGGCTACCAGCTCTGTTGTCCCAACATATGCCTTTAAGACCTGTAGTTAGGAGATAAATGGCTAACATCAACTCCTGCTGTACTTTTCTGTACTTTAGTGGTAGAAGGGCAGAGGAGGAAACAGTAGCAGGTGATTTTCTTTGGCTGGTACAGAACTAAGAACTATAGCGAAAAAGAATGAAATGAGAACAAGCACTCTGCAAATGGTGCAGACCACAGAGCATGCAATGCACGCAGTGTACAGTTGAGTTGACAAATTGCTCTGTGGGAATGGCAGAGTGATTGATCAGGATTAAATTGCAGCTCTCCTGTAAGGATGATGAAAGAGTGCAAGCAAATGGTGTCTTCAGAGCAGCCTTTCTAACTCCTGAATGAGTCCTGGCTGACCTGTTTTTTTTGTCACCTCATATCCACCTATGTGCCTATCTTGACGCTTAGCTTGACCCTTAGTTGTGTCTATTTCAGTGCCCAGTGTATGATTTGGACCATAATGTGGAATTCAATGGTGTTTACCAGTCTATGACAAAGCAGGCAGCCATAACGGTGCAGGTGAGGCTGATTTTTTTTTTTTAATATATATGTATTTTTTGTCCCAGTGATGCTTTTCAGTGTCTTGTCCTGTTCTCTCTCTCTTTTTTTTTTTTTTTATTTACTTTTTTTTTTAAAGAAGAGATTTTCTCCAGATTATGTAACTTTGCTTATGATTGGTTGGGTAGACATCTTAGGTGTTGGGACCATTGGTCAGCATGGCTGCAACCTCCATGATCAAGGATCTTCTGTTGAAGTTTTGTCTTTTCCACTGAGTAGTGATGATAGGGCCTTTTAATAAGCAAAGCTTCAGTAGATTGTTTCCACTAATTAAAAGAAATGCATTAACATTGGTTTGCTTACATTGGGCCGCTGCTTGTACTGAATACAGGTGAACTCAGCTTGTCATCAAGGATGAGGTGAGCATCTCAAGAAACCAGTCTCTGTTCAGACCAGGCAGGTCTCTATAGAGCTGCTGTATGTGTAGCAATTAAAACCTGACCTCTTGCTTTTTGGAGCACCACCTCTGCATTGTACAGAGGGAGAGGCTCCTTCACTTCTCATGGATTTGTCTTTCTGTGCAGAGAAAAGACTTCCCAGGTGAGCAGTTCTTTGTTGTGTTTGTCATCAAGCCAGAGGATTATGCCTGTGGGGGTTCTGTGCCTTCCTCTATCCATGGTAAGTTGTGCTGGGAGACAGATTTTGTTAGTCTGTCTGGGTTATGGAGCAGCAGGAAACCTTTGGAGCCTTACTGTGGGAGGGTGCAGGTTGACCAGGTAGCTCTATCCAGATAACTGTGAGGAAGGATGAAATAAAAACACGCTGACAGGCAGCTTAACAAGTCTTTATCATGCAGGGAATGTCTTTATATGGTACAGCACTTGACTTGCTGGGATTATGCATTTTTGTGAGGGGTCACTGTATGGGAGCTGTTGAGTCACAGCCTGAACCACTGATTGATCACCTGGGCAAAGGACGTCATCCCTAGGAGCGCAGGTGAAAGCAATTCCCCTGTGTGACCAGAAAGGGTGGAGCCTGGCTGCACCTCTCTTAGACCCCATTTAAGGGCTGACTGGCACCATGGAAGGATCTCAGTTTGGAGATCTGTCCCCTGTGGAGTCCTTTCTGTGAGCTTAGATCTTTGGAGATGGGTGATTGCGTTTACTACCATCCTTTCTGTGCTGGTCCCCTTGCTGTTGTATTCCTGTTTCACCCTTCCACTGTGTTAATCTGTCCAATTGTTACAGTCACTAATATCTTGGAAGGTATGGGAGATACCTAGGCAGTGCTAGTCATGGCTTTTTTTCTTGTTCTTCTCCTTCCTTCCTGCTGCCCACCATTTTTTTTTTTATGTTCTCCTGCCTGCATGGAAGCCCAGATAACAGTCCTGCAGAAGGCGTTTACTCCCACTACTATCTTGAAATCTGTGGCAGCTCTATACCTGTGGCAGCAGGAAATAGTTATAATTTTGAGAGATTGATTCTAGTGCCTTCTCCAGGCAGAAGATAAATGTATTCACCTCCTTGCCTGTGGTCATTGTTACTCTTGTGATGGCTGAAACTGGAGTGGGTGCACAGCTGTCCTCACAAGAAGTTTTATTTTTATATATATATTTTTTAGGTCAGGGACTTTCCTGTCCTCAAAGCCTGGTAGTTTCCTTCCTTCTGAAAAAGCAAACTGACAGACAACAGATATTCTGGGCTCCTGCAATTCTACCACCACACACTATTCCCCAAACTGTCACTTTTCAGATGTCTTTTTCTTATTCTAAGCTGTCAGCAGAACTCTACTGGTGGAGTGTGCTGAGCTCTGCTGAAGGACAAGAAGCAGCTCCCTGTTCACAACTGTGTTGCCTGTAGCCTTTTGTCCAAGGCAAAAATGGCATGTGAGCTACTTTAATGAGAGAAACTGCTCTTTGGGAACTAGTCAAAGAGCAGAAGAGATGCGCTTTTGAATTTAAGCATTCAGACTTGAGCAACTTATGGAAAGCTCAGCCATGTTTTTTTAGTATGAAAAATAAGTTGTGGATGGAGGGAGTAGGGGGGGTAAAACGTGGAAAAAGCTGGCAAGTCTGGGGAGGGTGCAAAACCATGCAAAGCTTTTACTGAAAAGCCAGACCCTGGTGTTTCTGCAAATACAGAGAACTGAGATCAGGGCCAGAGATCTTTAAGGCTTGATTGTCTTTGTTTACTGTACCTTTGTATCTCACAGGAAATGTCAACCGTACTTGGAACCTACAGCGGACAAAGAACCTTCAAGTGACAATTGTGCCATCTATTAAAAGTTAGTATCTCTGTGCAGCTCTATGGTGGGGACCTGGCACTTCTGTGGAGGAGGATGTGGCTTGGGTGGCAGCCCGGTGCTGGGTTGGTGCAGAGAGCACCAGCAGAGGAGCTGAAACTGTTGCTAACTTAGAGATCTCAGCTCCTGAAAGGAGCTTCTGTGTTATAGACACACTAGCTACATGAGGGACAGAGAAATTGGAGGCAAACCTTGCAAAAGGTTTTTGCACCTCCTCTTGAAGAAAGCAGATGGGTCTTAATTACTCTTTGGCCTGCATGTTGTCACAAAGTGGTGTTGGGAAGAGTAGGGCAGGATCACAGACTCTGCGAAGGGCTGTCCCTGCTCTGTGAACTGACTGCTGCCTTCTCTTTCCTCAGAGTCTGTTTACATTCAGGCCATGTTGTTCAGCTTCCTGAGCTTCCTCTCTTTTTACGTGGGCTCAGTGGTTGTTGCTTTTGTACACTATATCAGGTAAGTCAAGGCTATTTACAAGAACAGCCTTTTTGTTTCTTTTTATCCTCAGAGGTGCCTCACCCTGCAGTGTGTTTGAGGTTAGGGTGTCAGCTAGCATCTGATCAGAGCAGTGAAATGAGCCCTAGACTATTCAGTGGGCTCCTAAGACAACTGTGAAGGAAGGAAGACTTCAGCCAGAGAACTTCTCTTCCTCTGCTATGTACAATGGTGAAAACCTAAGGCTCTTTCCTTTGTGTTTTTTTTTTTTTTTTTTTTTTTTTTTCTCTGGTGTCCCATTCTCTGGGTTTCCACGTATAGAGACATAGGGTGACAGATGGGAACTGTGGTGGGGCCTCTCTGGGTTTTGAGGTGCCAGGGCATTGGGGAACCAGAGTACTTTCTGAAATGCTGAACTGAGTACTAAGAGGCATTAATGACCAAAGTGTGGCCTTGGAGTCTCAAAGTTTCCTGCCTGACCTGCATATCCTGTCCCAGAGCTTGATGCCGATGCTTTTGCTGTGGAATTTTGTTGTGAATATCCATAGCTGAGCTGAACTTAGGCACAGCTGCCATGACAGGTTGCTCCTGGGAGTGGGGGAAGAGTAAAACTCTTCCTGGCTGTTCCAGCCATTGTTACTTGCTTGTGGTGACCTTGAAGTTTGCTTGCATGAATTCTAGACTAGAGGAGCAGAAAGGGGACAGCAACCCACTTGGGAAATAAGATTTACCCCTGCAGGTCAAGTAACCAGTAGCAGATGATAAATTTTTGTGGAACTGCAGATGCTCTTGAGGTTGAGGGTTATGGTGGAGTTTTTTAGGATCAGCCACAGCTGCCTGTGTAGACAGCAATAGCAGTTAAATCCTTCATCCAAAGTGTGGAGGCTCAAGAGGGAGGGAATCTCTTCTACCTTTTTCCCTGGCCTTCTGGACAAAGGTTGATGTGAGAAGAGCTAAGAAAAGCCTTTGGCAAATAGCAGGTTGGTTTTGTGTGAACTGATTTTTTCAGGGAGATGTTCAGAATCAGAATGGCAGAGGTTTTCAACTGCTTCAAAGAAGGGATCTTAAAAAGTATTGTGTTTTGGGAAAAAAAATTCAAGATGGAATATTTGGCTAAACTTTGCTTCAATTAACTTTTCATTGCAACAGTTCAGTGAAGTGGTGTATATGTGCTTGTGCATGCACACGTGCATACTTTGTTGTTTTTTTCCTTACTGCAAATAATTTATTGTTTTTCTTTCTTGCCTTCTGCATCTTGGCAATCTGTGCTGAAAGAGATGGTGTTGACTTTTTCAACATCAAGCATGGCTCTAGCTCCTGCCACCTTTCACTTCAGTGGTTTCTCATGTGTTCAGTCCCTTGAGTGGGACAGTTGGGTTTGGGAAGGTGGCCTGAGAGTCTCTCTCAGTATAGTGAGCAGTGTAGGATGAAGTGATTCTGTAACTCATTGTCCTACCTGTGGTGCATATCCAAAGAAGGAAAATTCTGTTACTTTAGAATTTGGAGAGTTAGACAGTGAGCAGTCATGGCAATCATGTCTAGTCTAGTCTTTGCTTTTTTCTTCTTCTTTTTTGGGTTTTTGTTGTTATCCTCTGGTTTTAATGCCTACACCATTTTGGATGATGATCCTGATAATCTGTCTGACTGGCAATGGCATTTGTTGCCTGTCTCATGAGTGCTGTCTGCTTATTTTCAGGGTTTGGAGGAAGGCTTCAGCTGAGAGATTGAGTCCTGAGAATGGTAAGCTCTCTTTTCTGTGTTAGGTGAGCAAGATAGATCTTAGGCATAGCAAGAAACAGGCAGTCTGTCAAGTATTTTCTCCTTTCAACTCTTCTTCCTTCCTTGGTCATGCACCATACAATCTCTGGTGCTGCTGAGATATTAGATTCCTCTCTGCCCTTACAAGGAAAGTCATTTGAAGCAGGCTGCACCAAATAATGGTCTGGATACTTGCACTTCAATTTCTGCTTTTCTGGTGTTTTTTTGTTTGTTTGTTTTTTTCCCCAGCTCTTATTCCTTAGGATTTCCTCTGCCTGGATTAAGTATAGAGTCTCTCTTTCTCTTCACTTTTTCATTTAAATTTGTTTTTAATTGGGATTTGCAGAGAACAGTAAATGAATGATTAATACTGTTAGTGTTGTCTGTGTTATTTACTTTGGTATTGGATTCTGTTTGCTTTATGCTGCACCCACATTTCTACATCCTGTGGATTTCTGTGTTGCAAAACCATGGCTGCATCTGAGAGGCTACTGGTGAAAGATGGTAATTTCTATCATGTGGATGGGGGGCACTAGGGGCTTTTGCTTCCTGGCAAGGTGTGGGAGGCTGGTTGTTTCATTTTGTTTAAATATTTTGTGCCTTAAAAATAGTTCAAAGTATGCAAAGTCTGGAGGTAAAGAAGCATCAACACTTGTACTTCTCTCCTGGGGAATGGGAGGACTTTATGATCTGGCAGCAAGAGCATGAAGCTTCTTCAGTCTCCCATATCTTCTACTTAGCATTACTTAGCATTAGTGCTTTAAAAACATTTGAATGTCATGGGGATGTATCCAGTTGTGACACAACAGCAGGTCTTGGGGCCATGGAACAGTGTGAAGGGCATTTGCTGAGGAGTTTGGGGAAGCTCTTTCTTTCTCAGCTGTGTCCTTTCAGAGCATGTCTAACTGATGCATATGAACTGATAGCTCATATTTGCCCTGTCCTTCAGGTCGTCCATGACATGCTGGCTTGCTCTAAATTTTCTTCTCTTCCAACCACTGGAATTCATTTTCCTCCATGGTAGCCCTAGTTCCTGTCTTTTCCATCAGTCCCTTTTCCTTTTTCTTCCCCCACCAAGAAACTGAGAATTCTTAATCTACCCATTGTCTTTGAATACTCTGGGACTCGGTGTGTCCCTTTTGCTCCTGCCACCGGTCCAATGCCTGGCATTTGTGGTTAACTTTTTAATTTGGTGAGATACCTTCTGTCTCCTTCCCCATCATCACTACCAGATGGAGACAAAAGCTGGAGGAACCGCACCTAGTGTGCTGCATTTACTTTGCTGACTCACTTTCCTTCTGGGAAGTGGGACTGAAATTACAGGGTGAGTGGAGTCTGAAGTGACTGGCAGGGACATGGCAGGCTGCATTTTCTCCCTGGTGTGCTTGCTTTGTCCAGATTTGGATCTTTTATTGGGAGATTGATGTCAGGGGGAAACTTTTTCACTGAGAGAGCAGCGAGGCACTGGAATGAGTTGTCCAGAGAAGTTGTGGATGCCTCCATACAGGAGGTAGTCAATGCCAGGTTGAGTAGGTGCTGGGCAGCCTGATTTAGTGGGTGGCGACCCTGCCCATGGCTGGGGTTTAGAACTCTGTGAGCTTTGAGGTCCCTTCCAAACCAAGCCATTCTGAGATATTCAGGAGAGAAGATTGATGCATCATTTGAGAGGAAAAATCTTGCTTCAGTGTAAGAATGGAGCATCTTTGTGGAACAGGAATGATCAGAGTAGGAAGTTTGCATGTGTCTCAGTGCTGTGAACACTGGAAAAATGCTTTTCTTGCACTCTTCCCAGTAATCTGTATTTCGAAATGACTTTAAAGCAGCAGGGTAGCTGTGTTGCAAGAGATGGAGTGTTGCACAGCAGAATAGGAGCAGAAGGTGTACCTTCTTTTGCCTCCAATGAGTATGTCCCAGCTCAGAAGTGAATGGATGTATTGTGGGGTGACTACAGCATATCCTATTGTTTTCTTGGGTGCTTAGTCTGTGCCACATTGCCCACTTTAGATGATCCTCTTAGCTGTTTGTTGCATTGATTAAAAAAAAAAAGTTGAAATGGTGATCAAGTGCTTGCCCTCAGCACAATGAGCAGAAAACGTGCTGAAGGAAAGGAGTGATTTAGACTTAAAACTTTAATACCATTGCTATGTGGGAGCTCACCTGCTGAGGAATAAGGCTTGAGCAGCAGCAGGTTTTGGGGCTAATTTGTTATGTTGTTAATTGAAGTGTTATGAAAACCCATGTGAGATGTTACAGAAGTGCCTGGAGCTGGCATCTGGAGAGAACAGTCTGATGTGCCTGTCAGTGTGGAAGAAGTCAGATACCAGGAAGATGGAGACATGATTTGGGAATGCCAGGCTGAGGAAGGCTGCAGTAATTTAAAACTGAGCTGTGTCCTGTACTACTTTGCTGCTGACTGGCACAATGCTGTTGTGATGCTTTACAAGGAACAGGTCCAGTCTTGCTGCTTACCACCAGAGGAAGGTGCAGTCCTGTTGTCACTGCTCTTGCTCCTTTCCTTCTGGAAAGAGAGAGGTTTGATCCCTGTGTGAGGGTGTTCAGCATGCTGTGTTTGTACTGTTTGCTGTTAATTCAGCTGCTAAGCCCTGTCACAGGGATCAAACAGGCACCAGACAAAAAGGAGTGTAGAGCCAAGAGAGAGAAGTCCCAGTGTAATACCCGTCTGGCTTCAGGTGTGTGGGAGGGAGGTGGAGATTTGTCAGTCCTCAAAGACATGTCTCTCTTGTCACCAACGCAAGATCACAAGCGCTTTTAGCGTGGAACATTTTTCTTTCTCCTTACTCAGTTAAAACTCTGTAGCAGCTGTCTTGCCAAAGACTGATTTTTGCAGGTCTAACTGGAGGTAATGTTATTTGAGTAGACCAATACACAAGGAAGAGAAGAATAGGAAACTCATAAGGGTGCTCTGAATACCATGGGACTTGCTCTATAATCAGCCGAGTTTTGCAGCCCTGTAATGTGATCTCTGCTGTGTGCTGGATACTTATGCTTTTGTGAATCAGACTGACAGTCTCTGGGAGGAGACTGGAAGAAATGAGTCTTTCATATTGCAAAGTAAGGGTTTCCCCTTCATATGGTGTACTCTAGAGGGAGACAGTGTAGTCTGCTTGGAGAAAAGCTGCTTTTTCCAAGCCTCTCCAGCTCTTCAAGTTATTTGCTTTCACCTAGGAGATGTTTTGAAGCACTACAGTGAAGCTAACTGGCTCTTCTGGGTCTGTTTCTGTTGCAGGATCTGGGATTATGACATCTTCGCATCCCATCACAGCCAGCACACCTGAAGGAAGCAGCTATGGTGCTATTGGTACTGTGTCTTCTGGAACTGGAGACAGAGGGAGGGCCCTGTCTGGGACAGGGGAAGGCACAGATTTGCACTTATTTGGTGCTTTAAGGCCAGAAGGGAATAAAGTTACAAGCTACTTCAGTAACTACTTGCAAGTATTTTAAAATGGGGGTGGAGGAGGAAGCAGTTTGGGGATGTCCTGTTTGCACTTCAAGAGTAGGGGAAAAGGCAGGGGAATTTCCACCAAAAAATGGCAGATATCTGGAATAGCTTTTCAGAGAGGCTCCATCACTGAGACTCAGCTAGACAAAGCCGCAGTCATCAGACAAGCGTTGATGGTAGTCCTGCTTCAGGCAGGCTGACTAGGGACTTGCAAAAGGTTTCTTCCAAGCAAGTTTCTCAGACCTGGTAATGAGTTCATGGAGCCTGTTTTTAGACCCAAGCATGCTTCTTCACTGGAAGGCTTAATGCTTGTGTGCAGGTAGACAGGACAGTGACAAGAGTTCCTTGTGGTCCAGCGTTTTCATTAGCAGGGAGATAATATCATGCTGTTTAATAGGTGAACTCTGCATTGGCAGAAGAGGGGGGGGAAAAAAAAAATCCCTGCTAATCTGGGATGATGGTAAATCCCTTCCTTTGCCAGAGTATTTCTTAGTCTCCTTGGAACTGTTTCCCCTACTGTGGAGGGACTGGTATTGAACAGTTCAATGTTGTGGATTTTTGAGTTGTAATCTTTTGGATTTGACAGCTTGGGGACCCAAATATTGGGCTGTGAAGGTGGGATGTCTCTGAATACTCAATGAAGAAACACAAAACTGAAGCTTCATGAGGTTTGGGGAAAAATTCAGGAGGAACTAAGTCATGGAAAAGAGTTGAGGGTTAATTTTCTCTTCCCTCAACCCCTGAAATGCTTTAAAAGCATTTGGGAGATGAGGAGGAAGATTGTGTTCTGCTCATTCTAGTCTGGGCAAGGAGTGGCTGGAAGCTCAGCCAGCGAGTTGGAAATGTGTGTCCCTCTAGCCTGCGGGTGACCAATACTGTGTGTGCAGTGGGAGTAAGCTGATGCTTTGCTTCCTGTGAAAATTCAACTTTCTTCCTTTTTTGTCTTTGTTCTACAGTATGTTTAGAAAGGCTGAGACCTAAAGCTTATGTAAAATCTGGAGATTAACTAGGTCAGCGTGTTCCTGATCTCTGAGCAGCCTGCTGCTTTTTCTAGAGCTGTATGGCTGGTCTCAGACTTCCGGTTTTCAGAGCCGAGGCCAGTAAAGAGCAGAAAGTGCTAGAGATGAAAAGTAGTAGAGCAAAACTGTGTGGTTTGTGACTAGGAAGAAGTTTCTTCCTTGAAATGACCATATCAGCTTTTCCCAGTGTATTGTTGCTGATATCTGGGCACCTTTCTTATTGTGTTTGGAGGGATTTAGCCTTTACCCTGCCTGTTTTGTTTGTTTTTTTCCTTCTTCTTGCCCTGCTCCAGATGAGTCTAGCTCCAGTGGTGGACGGCAGTTTTCTTCCCCTGAGCATGGGCCACCAGGAGGCTCTGACACAGACAGCTCTGTGGAGGAAGAGAGCGACTTCGACACCATGCCAGAGATTGAAAGTGATAAAAATGTCATCCGCACAAAGGTAAGGCTGGCACATGGCCAGGACCAACACCAGTCACTCTCCGTGGGTTTTAACTTTCCACTTAGCTCTGCTGGATTTCATCTAATAGAGATGAATGTGCTTCTTAGTGTTCTTTCAGAGTCTTAAGAAGTTTTCCTGATGTGCTAAGCATACTGCTGAAGTGAGTGACTACATGTGGAAAATCAGAATATGTTAGGAACAGTTGAGAAAGGAGGAGGAATCCAAGTGTGTCCAAGAAAGTATAAGGAGGTGGGACAGCCTAGGGAGAAAATAATGTGCAGTGATAACTGGATATTCAGTAGGAGTAGTGACTCAAGATGCATGTCTTATAAATACATTGAGATTTTTCTCCTGGCTTTTTCACTAGTTCTTTTCTGGTGTTATTTATTGTTTGTTTGTTTTCTTCCCTCTTTCTTTTCCCGTTAATGTGTTAGGTGTTCCTGTATCTGTCAGACTTGTCCAGGAAGGACAGAAGAATTGTCAGCAAAAAATACAAAATCTATTTTTGGTAAGAAGACAAACTGGTAAGGCCTGATCTTGGGACCTAGTCTCTAGTTGAAAGCTCTCCAGCTATGTCCACATGCTCTTCTTTTGAACCACAGTTTAGTTTGAAGGATATTCTTTCAGCTGTCCTGTTACACTCTGTTCTAAGAAGTCACTGCAGATCCCATGTACCTCGAATGAGGATATTTGTGGGCTGATACATATGTGATCCTGGCAATAGTTACTGGTTTTCATTAGCTTTTTAAAGTGTGGTAATAAGCAGTGTGCTGAAACATACTGGGGAAGGAGGAATTTAAGTGTGGACAGCAGTTTGAGGGAGATGATTGTTCTCCTCTACTCTGCTCTTGTGACACCTCAGCTGGAGTATTGCAGGGAGGGGTTCCCAGCACAAGAAATGTGACTCTGAATCTGTTTGAGTTGGTCCAGAGAAGGGCCATGAAGGTGATCAGAGGGCTGGAGCAAAAGAGATTGGTGTTCAGTGCGAAGAAGCAAGAGTCCAGGGAGACTTCATTGTGGCCTCCTAGTACCTAAAGGAGGACTGCAGGAAAGCTGGAGAGGGGCTCTATCAGGAGTGTAGTGATAGTTTAAAGCAGTTACCCTTTGTACTAAGGGTAGATTGAAGTTTAGATTAGACACTGGGTAGAAGCTCTTAACTCAGAGGGTAGTGAGGCACTGGCACAGGTTGCCCAGAGAAGCTGTGGATGCTCCATCTCTGGAGGTGTTCAGGGTCAGGATGGATGGGGCCATGGGCAGCCTGATCTAGAAGGAGATGTCCCTGCTTCTGGCAAGGGGTATGGAATGAGGTTATCTTTAAGGTCCTTCCATCGCAAATCATTTTTTTTTCTTATTAGCTACTCAAATATAAAAGCTTGTGGTTAGCATCCTGACTCTTCTTGTGTTCTTGCTATTTGCCTCCTGTTTGCATTAGTGCATTTTTCTTCTACTTCAGGAGGATCGTAATCTGAGCTGCTATAAAGCTGCAGCTGGGAGAGAAGGGTTTATGCCCTTAGGCAACAGGGTGTACAAACTTCTCCACCTGCACTGTAAGGCTCTGAGATGGGTGTGTACTAATAATGCTGTAACTGCTGCTCTTACCTTCTCTCTACAGGAACATCATCACCATTGCAGTGTTTTATGCCCTGCCAGTCATCCAGCTTGTCATCACCTACCAGACGGTGCGTCAACCTGTGGCTGTCACCAGCATTTGGTGTCATCTTGCCTTTGAACCTACTCTGGAACAGGAATGACAGTTGCAGTAAAATTGGGATGACTTGGGGATCCTGCTGTGTCTCTGAAGGGCAGATTACTTTAGCTGTTCTCTGTACCAGATTCTGATCACTCTGCTGGCTTGGCTCAGCTTTCTGAGCTTGTTTCTGCTGCTTCTGCCTGGAAAGCAGAGACTGCAGATTCCCTCTCCTCTGTTTTCCTAATCGTCATTTGGGGCCTGTTTTATTTTGCAGTCAGGAGGAACCTGCTGTCCTCTCTGGGGATCTGCTGAAAGCAAATGCAGTTTGCTATTATATGAGTGTTCTTTTCTGTTTTGTTTTCCATAGCCCTGAGCTGTTACTCAGAGACTTGCAAGCAGACCTACTTTTCAGCCTTGTTGTTTTGTTGCAGGATGCAAACACAAAGTATGTTTTCTGTAAGGAGTGCTGTCAGGTCTGTGGCCTGTGGCAGCGTCTTGACTCTTACTCATAAAATCTTCATTTTCAGATGTCAGTACTCCCTTATGGCAGTCCTACTGCTGGGCTGCCTCCAGGTCCCTACATACATCTTTCCATCCTTCCAAACTGATTTCACTTCTACACATTGACTTTCTTCTGGAACACTGGCAGGTGGTCCCTGCTCTGCCCCAAGCACTTAAACTAGGCAAAGAGAACAAAAAGACCAGCTGAGTTTCAAAGCAGTCAAGGGCTCAGCCACATGTCCTGTTTCAAGCACCCTAAGCTGCTGTTGCTAGCTTTGCTGCTTTTCAGGACCCTGTGGGCTCTAAGCTGCAGTGGTTTCTGAAAAGCTGTTTGCAGGCTGTAGTGACTGCAGAGTTGTAGCCCTCAGGTGCTGTATCTGCAGTATGGCACATCAAACTTGTGTAAACACAGTGCATGCACGGTGCAAAGACATTCAAACAGAGAGGATTCACTAACATCAGCTCTCCCATCTCCACTCTGTCCAGGTAGTGAATGTGACAGGCAATCAAGACATCTGCTACTACAACTTTCTGTGTGCTCATCCACTTGGGGTGCTGAGGTGAGTCCTGCAGTCACTGCATTATTGCCTTGTGCCTCATGCTGTGCCTAGGCAGGGTTTTTTCCTTACTGGGTTCACAGCAACCACACTGAAAAGAATACTGAGAGTTTAGGGCTCTGAGCAGAGTCTCCCCGAGCTTTCAGTTGAGCTCAGCAGTGGCTTTCTGTTGCAGTAAGATGTGCATCCAGGCCTATGTGGCACCAGGTTTGCCCCAGCAAAACTGCTTGCCGCCAGTACTGTGCTTATGTACTCTTTTGGATGCTTTCACATGTATTCAAAGAGAAGCAGCTCTGAAAAGCAATTCAGAATAGTCCTTTCAGTGCAGCATTTTTCAACTGTAACATTGGAGTGCAAAGAGAACCCAGAGTTGGGAATCTCACAGAGAAGGTGTTAAATCAGTTGAAGCAGATGAAGAAGTACTCAGCCTGAAATTGTCCTCCATTGTGTAAAACTGGCAGGTGTTTGGCAGCTGCTGAAGTGGAGGATGGTGGTGGGGAACTAGATGAATTCAGTTTGTTGTGGCCTGGGATTCACCTTCCTGCTTCTGTGATGCTCTTGTCTTAAACCCTCTTTTTCCCTGCAGTGCCTTCAACAACATCCTTAGCAATGTGGGCCACATGCTGCTGGGCTTTCTCTTTCTCCTCATTGTGTTGCGCAGAGACATTCTCCACCGTCGGGCCATGGAGATGAAAGATGTCTATACCCTAGTGGGTACATGGTTGCGTGGGACCAGTGGTGGGAGGGAGGGAGGCATGGGAACAACAAGAGTAATGCACAGTGGTTTTCAGTTTGCACTCCTTGCTGGAGGATGAAATCCTCTTTTTTTTTTTTTTTTTTTTTTTTTTTCCCCTGACAAAAGATGGAGGTGGAGCACATTCTCACCTGCTACTCTACCACTTTGCTGCTTGTGGTGTGTCTGTGTTGCTGTTGTTGCCCAGTCTGGTCTCACAAAGACAGATGAGCTAAGGAATGTCTCCTGTAGCTCTTCTTCCATTGTTCACTGTGGAAGAACTGGCGCAGATGAGCTGGATGGGAGCACGCCTGGACCCTTGCTTTGTCCTGTGATGATGAAGCAGGCAGTGGAAAGGACCATCTGCTTTCTACAGAGGAGGAGGCTCCTTTGTACTAAAAGCTAAACATGTTTCTAACGGGGCTTGTGAAAAGTGCGGCCTGGTTAGTTAGCATCCTTCTAAATGTGGTGTTGTGGTGGGATTTTTTTGGTCTCAAGACATCAGTTCCAAGATGCTGAGGTCTTCAGACCAGAAGTTTCTGTGTGATTATTTTGGATTTGTTGCTAGTGGATTCAGCCAGCTCTGCAGTATGATACAATTACATGTGGGCTGAAGGACAAGTGTGGGGGCTTAGGAGGGTTGAGGTAACAAAGAGTGGAAGCTCTCTTGTGATCAGAAGAGTGAGGGTGCCTTCTGTCTGCCTCTGTTCTCTTCTAGGATTATGGGATCCCAAAGCATTTTGGGCTCTTCTATGCTATGGGCATTGCTCTGATGATGGAAGGGGTGCTCAGTGCCTGCTACCATGTTTGCCCCAATTACTCTAATTTCCAGTTTGGTAAGCCAAGTTGCCATCTTTTGTGCTTGAAGAAGGATTTGCCGTCTCTATCTTCTGCAGAGTTACAAATATTTCTCACCTTTCTACTCTTGCAAAGCTTTCAGGCTTGGTCAGAAGACAGTGAATCTTTGGATGAAAAATGGAAGCTCCATTCAAAGACAGGAGAATATTTTTTTTTCTTTTAACTGGAAGGGTGGGCAGAGATTGGAATGGATTGCTTGGAGTTTGTGGTTTCCTGTGGAGACATACTGAAAGCCTGACAGGGCATGGCCCCTGGCAGCCCTGTCACAGCTGACCTTGCTTGAGCAGAGGAACTGAATCAGATCATCTCAAGAGGTCCCATCCAGTCTCAACCATTCTGTAATTTCCTGCCTGTTTCTGTGCCCTGATGCCTTTTTATTGTCTTTGTTGCCCAGGAGCACAGATGTACTGCAGGGTAGCAAAGCGCAAGCTGCTGTACGATGTAGCATAGCTTCACTGTGTGTGCTTTGAGCAGCTTTCTCAGCCTGCTGGCACCTGTCTTCACTATTTCTGTTGTGCTCCTTCCACAGACACCTCCTTCATGTACATGATTGCAGGACTTTGCATGCTTAAGCTCTACCAGACCCGCCACCCAGACATCAATGCTAGTGCCTACTCTGCCTATGCCTCGTTTGCTGTGGTCATCTGCCTCGCTGTCCTTGGAGTGGTATGGCTTCCTCTTATCTGCCTTTTTCTCTGGGGGGGAAATGCGTGGGGAGACCAGGGAAAGCATCAGAGCTCAATAAGCTGTTAAGCAGCTACTTGTACTTGCATTCCTAGTACTCTATTTTTTTTTTTTTCTCCTTTCCAAAACAGCTATCCTCACAGCCTGGTTGCTTGTTGTGCCTCTTTCTACAATTTGCTTCTCTCCAGTTGGAGGACTGTTACATTCAACAGTAATCAGGCAAAATCTGTTGAATTCTTGCTTTGAGCTACTGACTGGGCCTCAGCAGACTGTTAGCCTCTATCTGTCCTACAGTAGCACTGAATAGCAATTGATCTCTTGCAGATAGGAGACTGTGGGATAAGGAATAAAGGAATAGCTGGTAAACTTGAGAATTTCCAAGAATTTCTTGTTACTTTGCTTGATGGGCACTTCCAATCCCTGAAGGTGTTCAAGGCCAGGTTGGATGAGCCTGTGGGCAGCCTGATGTAGTGGTGGCAGCTCTGCTATCAGCAGGGGATTGGGAACTAGGTGGGCTTTAAGGTTCTTTCCACTCCAAGTCCTTCTGTGATCCTAGATTTGCATGCCTAGGTTCGAACTGCTGGACTTTTATTGTGGGATGGTGAATATTTTGTTGAGAGATGTTTTCAGGTTGTAGAGTGGGGATTCTAAGCTGTATGTGCCTCTTTCTCCATTCATAAAGAGAAGGCTTCTCTGCTTACTTTTTCCCCCATGCAAATTGAGAAGTTCAAGCACCTTCTGTGGCCCCAGAGGAGGGGAGTGCATAGTTGTAGCCTGTCAGCAGACTAGAGTTTTTGAACTCTTCAATGTATAATGGAAATACTAAAGTTTTAACACAGCATTAACTTGGGTTGGTAATTCACTTCCAGTCCTTAAATAAACAAAAAGGTTATAATAGAAACACTTTGTACTTCTGGGTTTGCCACAGTGCACTTGCTGAAGCAATGGTTGGCTCCCTGACTGCCTGTGTAAAATTTCTCTCTTGGCCAGGGGGGCTGCTGCCTAGCTCTGCAGGGAGAGCTTGCCTGGCTTAGTTAGGGGTCCCAGTGTTTTTGCTTCTTGAGCCAGCTGCAGTCCTTCAAGGTCATCAGCCTTATCTGAAGGGACATGCAGAAGTAGTGGCTTATTCTCCAGAAATGCTAAGCTCCTCTTGCTTTCCTCGTCTCTGTTTGAATTTGTAGACTTGATTTTTGACTTGGAAGTTAATAGGGGTTTCTCTTCAGTGTTCAGTAGGATTGTCTAATGCTCTGTGGTGATACATGAAAGAAAAGGAGCAGCCTGCTGGTAACATGCCCAGGGTTTTTCCTTTTTTTTCTTTCTCCAATGCATCTCTGCTTTCAGGTGTTCGGGAAAAACGACATGTGGTTTTGGGTCATTTTCTCATTGATCCATGTTTTGGCCTCGCTGGCCCTCAGCACCCAGATCTACTACATGGGCCGCTTCAAGATGGGTAAGTGTCACAACCAAACTGTTTTGTGGGTGCTTCTTGATGGAATCTTAGCAAATCACCTCTGTGGCCTTGTGTAGAACTGTAAGGCCAGTCCTGTGGCCTGCACTTGTGTTTGGGGTTATCCTTTCCTCTCCCTCACCTGAAGCTTTTCCTGGTCTCTGAAGTTTTCCTGCTGTGGCTTCCCAGACAATGGGAATCAGCAGGACCAATTTGCTGATTGCTCTTGAGCTATGCTCCAGAAGGGTGTGCTAGGTGGGGAGGGAAGAGAAGGTCTGGTGGGGAGCCTGGCTCGTGCGCTCTGCTTACAAACATGTTTCTCCTTCCTCTTCTGCTCCTGTCTGCCCCAGATGGCCCTGACTCAGGTAACTGGCAGCAGCTCCCATTCTTTGAAATGATTGAGCAGTGGTGGAGAAGCTGGGGGTGCATGGATGCATGTGGAAGGTGGGCTTGTGTGCCACCCTGGGGTTGGCTCTTGAGAATAGAAGTTTATTTGCCAGCAGCTCTGCTAGGGCCTGCTCCTTCCTAGGAAGGGGATGGTGTAGCACAGAAAAGCCCTGATCTCAACACAGGAGTCTTTGAGCTCCACATTTGTGACTAAAGAGAGACCTTTGCATGCATGCGTGTCTGTTTGTCTTCACTGCTATTGATGGCTCTCCAGAGGAGATTCTGCAGTGGTTTTTATTTATTTTCTGTAGCAGGGGCATAGTGTGTTTTGCCTCTCTATACCACTCTCAACAGAGATGAGGGTCTCCTGTGTCTCCCTCCACATTGTTCCATGGGAAGCACTTTTCCCCTTCCTCCATGAACATCTCCCCTAAAGGGGAGTGGTGGCAAAGCCAACATATTTGCATTCAGACAGGGCCTATCTGACTTCTGAGCAGCACCAGGGTCAAGAATGTTTGGTTTTTAACCTGTTGTTCTGAGCGAACATTGTCCACCTGCTGTCCTGCTCAGCATGGACTACTTCCAGAGGGCAAGAAATGAATCTGTGGACACCCTGACCTTCATAGCCTGGGTCCTCAGCCAGTGTGTGCCTGCATCTTTACTTAGCAGGTGTTATGGAGTTCACTCTAGCTATACTGACTTCTGCTCTCTCCTTTGTCAGACTTGGGGATATTTCGGAGGGCAGCAATGGTGCTGTACACAGACTGTATCCAGCAGTGCAGTCGACCAATGTACATGGTAGGTGATTTCTCATTCTTCTGCACCTCCTTCAGCATTTGTTTGCTTTCTAGGTAGTGTGCAGAAGAGGGTTGTGGCTATTTTAAAAAGAGCAGTGCTGCCTGCTTCCCTTCTGTCCCTCTACCTCTCACCAGTGTGCAGTTATAGATCCCTGCTGGAGCTTTTTATTTGCACCAGTACTTCCTTGATCTATGGCCTGGTGGATAGAACATCAGAGCAAACGTGACACAAGTATGATAGAATTTGCCATTGCTCTTTCTTTCTAGGGACATCAGCTCAAAGGAATTGGTGTAGGGCTCAGTGCAGTGCATCCCTTCTAAGGAATGCAGTGACTGCTGCAGTTTCTACAGTGTCTTGGGGCAGACAGGAGGGGAAAAAAGAAACAATAGCTGTTACCTTGCATCCTAGTGATTACTTTCTTCTCAGCATAGAGCATTACTTAATGCTTGAAGCAAAATTAGATCTTTATTTATGAATTCTACTTTATTGTTTTTATTCTTCAGTCAGACTGTATTTTGCAAGCAAAGTTGGTGCATGCAGGCATAAAATAAGCCTGACTGGCTTGAAATAGCTACTCCATGAAAGTAGCTGTGTAAGCACAAACGCATAAGAAACACAGATGTATCTACTTTGCCCTCAATACTTGGAATTCTTACCTTGTTAATGGTAAAACTGGTTTTAAAGGAAAAAAAAAAATGGGGGGGGGGAAGGGTTCCATGGATATGTGCAGGGGGCTGTCCAAAGCACCCTGTGTCCTCTTTTAAACATGCTGTTTTTCTGTGCAGTATGTTTTTATGTGTAAGGAAGTTAACTAGGAAAACAGTGGAAACTTAGCCAAATGACTTGCAGGCAAGTGAATCTTCAGAGAATGATTCTTGAGGGGTTGACTCTTCTATTTAGATGCTTAATCTTTTCTATGCAATGTTCTCTTCAAATCTGTGAGGGCCAGAGCAGCATCCGTCTCACGAATACTCCTTCGCATGGAGTAAATACACGAGCCAGGTACATGTGCAGTTATGGGAACCAGACTCCAAACTCTCAGGCAATGATAGCCTGAATTTCTGAGGCAAAGTCCACTTGTTTCCTTCTGCTTTCGTGTAATCATTGGTGTCTTTTCTTCAGGACAGGATGGTGCTGCTCATCGTTGGAAACCTAGTCAACTGGTCCTTGTAAGTAGTGGGGTGTGGTGTTTTGCCTACGTGTGTACGTGGGCTTCAGTTTGATACAGGTGGCCTTGGGTGGGGAGGAAATGCAACGGTGTCATTGTGGTTGTTCTGTGCTGGGGCTCTTCTGAGACAGTTTGGATTGCAGCGTGCTCCAGAGATACCTGAGGCACCTCTGAGTGTTTTGCTGGTGCTGTCTAGTGGCCTGTTGGACCAAGCTTGCCCAGGGTTGGCATGATACAACTGTGCTATGTTCTGCTGTGCAAACCCATCCTCTATAGTGGGAGCTCCAGCCCAGCTCAGCTGTGGGAGGCTTGACAGAGACATTTGACACAGTTGCAGAGCCCAGCAGTAGCTGCATGGTTGGAGTGACAAGCTTTTGGATAAGACCTGAAATAACTGCCCTTAACTCCTGCTTTTCTCAAAAGCTGCTTCTCAAGGATATGCCTTCTACTAAATACAGAGATCTGGGACCAAGCCCTACTGAGTGTGATGTGTTTGGCCATAGGGTGGAAGCAATGCAATGCTCCTGCCCATATAATAGAATCATAGAATCACCAAGGTTGGGAAAGACCTCCAAAATCATACAGACCAATCATCCACCAGCCACCTACCAACCCCCACCTCACCAAAACCTCTTCTCAGGGAATTTTAGAGAGTGATAAGGTCTCCCATGAGTCTCTTCTCCAGACAGAACAACCCAGTTCCCTCAGCTGCTGTTCATAAGGCTTGTGCTCCAGACCCCTCACTGGCTTCATTGTCCTTCTCTCAGCACACTCCGGGGCCTCGGTGTCTCACTTGTAGTGAGGGGCCCAAAACTGAACGCAGTACTCAACATGTGGCCTCACCTGGGCTGAGTACAGGGAGATGACCACTTCCTTTGCTCCTTCTGGCAACACTATTCCTGGTACCAGCTAGGAGGTCATTGGCCTTCTTGGCCACCTGGGCACACTGCTGGCTCATGTTCAGCCAAGCATCAATCAATATCCCCAGGTCTGTTTGCTTTACACTGTCTTCCATCTACTCCATCTCAAGCCTATAGTGTTGCCTGTGGTTGTAGTGGGGGAAGTACAGGACCTGACTCTTGGTCATATTGACCTTCTTTTCACTGGTCTAGGACAAGCTATCCAGCCTGTCCAGATCCCTCTGTAGGGCCTTCCTACCCCCAGGCAGATTGATACTTCTTCCCAACTTATACTTTCTCCCAAGTTGCCCGTCTCTTCTTCTATAGGAGGTAGATTGTCTTTTTTTTCCAGGAGCCTCAGGAAAAAGCTCCTTGTTCGTCCATGCCAGCCTTCTTCCCACTGGCTCATCTTACAGGGAGACAGTCTGCTCCTGTGCTTTCAAGATTTCCTTCTTGAGGAGTGTCCAGACTTCCTGAACCCTTCTACCCTTCTGGAATATCTAGCTGCTCTCAATGGATGAGCGGATCTGAGGCTATTCTGCTTTGCTTTGTTTCTTAGCAAGGAGCTGAGGTGAACACTGTTTCCTTCAGGAAACTGGGAGGGCTGCAGCCGTTTTGCAATGTCCTGTGGTCTGAGCGGAGCAGCAGGTGTTTGTCAGTTTGGGGATGTATCCTGTCCCCAGTGAAAGAAGCTGTCTAATGTCTCTTGTTCCCTTTCTACCCTCAGTGCTATCTTTGGGCTGGTGTATCGGCCCAGAGACTTTGCCTCCTACATACTGGGCATCTTCATCTGTAACCTGTTGCTGTACCTGGCTTTCTACATCATCATGAAGGTAAAAGAGGTGGCTGTCGCTGTCATGCCTCTGCCCATCTCTAAAGAGGATGGTATGAGCCTCCTCTCAGCTGCAATCTGGGTTCCATGCAGAGGGGCATGGAGAGGTCCCTGTGGGACTTGGGATGAGATGAAGCACTGGTTGTTTGGGAGGGGATGCTGTGCAGTGATCTTGGTGGCTGGACTGCATCTTCCTGGGGTGGGCAACACTTGGTGGAGGTGAACAGGCCAGGCTTATTTGCCGCTGTGCATTGCTCTGGCCCCTGGGAAGCACTTGTTGTGAGATTACATCCCTCCTTGCAGATCCGCAGCTCTGAGAAGCTCCTGCCTATTCCCTTGTTCTGCATTGTGGCCACAGCAGTGATGTGGGCGGCTGCCCTCTACTTCTTTTTCCAGACCCTCAGCAGCTGGGAGGTAATGTTTCCCTTTTGCTATCCTTCTGTCCATGTCTGTCTCTCGTCTTCCCTTCCTGTTGTTCTTTTTCTGTAAAAACCAAAAAAAAACCAACCAAACCACAATACTGTGGGGGAGAGCCTTGGTCTACCTTCCTTCTCAGGTCAGGAAGGGAGTGCAGGAAACTGTGCTGATGCCAAAATAACTGTACGTGTGGTATCACGAAGGTTGAAAAAGACCTTTAAGGTCGTCAAGTCCAATGTCAACCCAGCACCACCATAGCTACTGTGGAGTGGTAATCTTGAGGCCCTCCTTATGGGAGATAGGGCAACCTGGTGATCTGAAGACAACGGAGCAGATCCTGACCAACAGTAGCTGGCAAAATTGTCCCTGGAGAGATGAGTAATGGGAAATAACATGGGCTGTGGGGACCCCATATGGCCTGGGAGGCTTTTAAATTTGGACTGGATGCATTCTCTATCACTGTGACAATGAGGGGCTTGCTGCAGAAGTATCCAGTGGAGGTTTTGCAGCTTGTGCTATGCTGCACATCAGATGTGGTGACCAGAGGGGGTTTTCCTGAGCTCTGTGCCAAGATCTCAGACCCATCCCAAGCTGTGAAGTATTGCACTGCATATTGCCATGTCCTCGTCTCATGTCTGCTGTTTCTCTTGGCTCCTTCATAGAGGGTTAAGGCAGGAAATCCTCCAGAGGGCTCTGTGTATGTGGCCAGGGTTCTTTGTGTGCTGGTGTCGAGTCCTGATTGCCTGCTCTCCCTTCTAGGAGACTCCGGCAGAGTCCCGAGAGAAGAACCGGTCATGCATCCTGCTGGGCTTCTTTGATGACCATGATGTCTGGCACTTCCTTTCTGCAGCTGCTTTGTTCTTTTCCTTTCTGGTGAGTCCTGCTCTGCTGTGGGGCCTCAGCCTCTCCTTCTCTTCCTTGTTTTCCTTTAACTGTGAGGTGACCAGCGAGACCTGCAACCTTGAGCTTCTCCCCAGGTCCTGCTGACCCTGGATGATGATTTGGACACGGTGCGCAGGGACAAGATCCCAGTGTTCTGAGCCTCGGATGGACAGAGGCGTGGGGGTGTGCCAAGCCGTTTGGCTGAAGGCACCAGGCTACCGGCGTCTGTGGGAATGAGCCTGTTTCAGTGGCCTGCAGCCCTGTGGGAGCGGAGGAGCTGGACCCACAGTGAGCATGACTGGGTGCCACGGGAACTGGGGCAGAACCAGGAGGGAAGATGACATTGGCTCCCCTGCCACCACACCCCCTGGGGCAGGCATGACCTAGCATTTGCAGCCCTCTGGCTTGTTAGGGCAGCGGGTGCTGGAGCTGGTGAAGAGGGAGAGGACAGGAAGCATATTTAAGACCTTTGCTTCCTTTCCTCTACGTTGACGTGCTCTGCTTTCTCTGTAGTGAGTGAGTTTGAGAATGCATTGCAGCTCCTCTTGTGTCAGCAGCCATTGTCCACACCCTGCAGACTGCTGCCCTTGGAGAGCCCCTTGGACAGCATGGGGGGAGAGTTTGGTTTCTGTCCCACCACGATCTCAGCATGCAGAGCAGCTGCCAAGTGAGTAAAAGGCTCCAGACAGAGGTGGTAGTGGGGAACTATGTTTCTTTGTTGGAGGAGCTCCTCCTGTAACTGCAGGAACATATCCAAGGGGCTGCAGTGTTTCAGGGACACAGGGACTAGTGCTGCACTGCCAGAGGCAGAGCTTCCTGCCTTGCTATTGCAGCTTCTCTCACCAGTACAAACTTAACAGCCCCCCCACTCCTCTCCAGCAGCTCCTGTTCAGCTGCTTGTCAGTGCAGAGTTCTCCTCTACAGCACCAGAAGCAGCGAGACCATGAGAGAGATGGAGTGATGAGGCCTCAGTCTCATGTGCTGGGCACCTTATGGGCTCCTGCAGTGTGCCCCAGTCTGGGAGCCTCTTTGAAGGGTTGGAGAGTGGGGAAGCTGTCCAGCAGCTCCTGACTTTCTCCTCCCACAAGTTTACTTTGGATGGGGAGTGTGGAGGAGGTCTTGGAGTCATTGGGGTTGAGCTCTTCAGAGGTGTGGACGAAACTTCTTCCCCCACCTCTTCAAATTTTCTGCATCTGAGGTTTTTAAATGTCTTTGCATTCTTTCTGAATTCTCAGTTATTTAAAAAACAAGAGTAAGGTATGAATTATTGCAGGTGTTGCATTTACAGTGTGACCTGCTTTGCTAATTTTGAATTAAAAAGTATTCTTTGAGGCCTGTGTTGTCCTTGTTTTTTATTATCTGACCATTTTCCCCTCAATGTACATGCATGTATCCAGTGTTGTAGAGAGGCTCTGTTCCAGTTCTGTTTACCAACTTTTTACATTGATAACTTTCTACTCTGAGAAGTCTGCATTTGCCAGGAAGGTTTTGCAGTATCTATTTCTTACTTTAATTTTTATTTGTTTATTTATTTGTTTTTTTAAGATGAAGTTTTTGCAAGATGGTCAAAAAGGGAATGTTCCTGGTTCCCTGTTCTGCAGGTCAGCCTGAATTCTTCCTGCTACGGCTCTGAGCAGCTGTGTGGAGAGTTCTTGGGAAAAGGGCTGCATGATCGTATTTGCCAGTCACTGCAATCCTTAAGTTTCGCTAGGAGCAACCCATCACTCTTGCAGACTGTTTCCAGAGTGCAGGTACCAGTGGTCTGCTTGTTCTGTTGGCTTCAGTCAGCCCTGTGAGGGCAGTCTGGCCAGAACAGAAGCTCCTGTTTGGCAGAGGGCTGGAGCAGGAATGGCATGAGAGGCTGTTAGCCAGGCTTCTGTCCCACCTCACGGAGCTGCTTGAGACATGGCTGCGTTTTGGGCAGGGCGTACAGAAGGCAGCAGTGGTCCTGATGTGCTGGGTTGGGTTATGTGCTTTGGGCTTGACTTGCAGGTTTGTTGTGCAGGTAGAGCTGTGAGCTGTCAGTATGCTAGGAGCAGGGCAGGTCGCTCACACCTGTTGCTAAACGTGCACCAGTCTTTCTTGGAGGTGCCACCATGGGCTGCAGGGAAGAAGAGGATGCTTGGAGGAGGATCAGGCTGAGGAGAGCCCATTTTTTTTTTTTTTTTATTCTGCCCCCCCTGTAACCCTGCCATCTGTTCTTGGTCTCTCTAAAGCGTCAGGATCCAATACCAGTGACACAGGCTTGCCTGCAGCTTCTTTATTCTTCCCAAAGGAAGAGACTGCAGGAAAGCCTGAGGTGCAGAACCTTCAACTCCTTGCTGCTGAGCGTGGTGAGGGTAAGCTGCTTTGATCAGTGGGGCTGCAGAATTCTGCCTTGCCTGGCAGCTTGCTGTGCAGATGGAGCCTCGTGGGCTTTAGTACCCATGTGAATCTTCTGCTGCATGCATTGTGTGCTCTTCTGTCTCCCCCACCTGCAAATGTGAGGGCTGTTGCAGGAGTCTGAGCTCTGTACTTACAATTATGTGAACAGTGAAACCACACACTGTGGTAATGTCTGTGCCATGAAGGAGTTCAAGACGTGGAGGTTGCCTGTGAGGTCACGCAGGGATGCTCAGGTAGTCCTGCTGCCAGGACCATCTGCTCTCTCTTTTCTCTGTGTTCCTGTTCCCAAAAGCAGGAGCAGAAGGCTGAGACAGGGCTGCATGGAGGCACCTGGGGGCTGTATGAGGAGCTGCAGCTGTGGATCTGCTGGGAGGGTGACAGTGTGTCACTTGGTGGTGAAGTGAGCTAGAGAGCAAGTGGGACAGTCCTCCAGGGGCAGCACTGGAGAGGCAGCAGCAGGAGAGGAGAAAGCTTCTGATGGAGCCCTCACCAGGGGCCCTGCACTGTTTCTGCTAGGTGCAGTCACTTACAGGAACTGGCAGATGCTGCCTTCCGCAGGCTGTGAGATGCAGAAGTGGCAAAGGAGGCAGCATCCCTTTACAAACCTGTTGCTCTCAGCAAGCTGCCAGGATCCTGGAGTTTGTATGCTTGAATCCAAAGCCGTGTTTGCTCACTGTGCTGCGTTCAGTCCCTCTCAGCCTGGTGCAAAATGAGCTTTTGCCTTGCAGGGCCGCCCTTAACCTGTGCGTGGCTGTGGAGAAAGAGCAGCAGCTCTTCTTCTTTGTGCAGAAGTCAAGGATGTATCAGAAAGTACCAGCAGTATCATTTACTTGCCTGACTGAAGAAGACCCTGTCTTCTCAGGCTTTGTCTGGATTTGTTACAGCTATCCAATGTTTTAATGAAAAATATTCTTTCTCCACATCTGCTGTACTCGTGGAGCTTGTTCCAAGCCTGTATTTGTTTCTCATCGCAAAGCTGGAGATCTTCTCTGTGTGTGAATGTGAGAAGGAACAGTAATGTTGAGCAGCAGCAGGCAGGGGCAGTGTAGGAGGTAGGAGAGCAGCAGATGGGCTCACTGTGCTGAGCAGAACCGCACAGTGTGCATGGCACTGCACTAGTGGAGTGGGAGACTGGCACAGAGCAAGCAGAAAAACACGTGAGAGAATTAAATGTAAGGAGAAATGGATGGAGGCAGAGTTGGAATCAATCATCTTGCTGCTTTCAAGCCTCCTGCTGATGCAGCAGTGTTGAAGATTCTCTCTTGGCTTTGACCTGTCTGGTTTCTGTTGGCACCGCAGGGCTCAGCCCAGCCCTGTGCTGGCAGAGGTGCCCCTGGCTTGGCTGTGCTGGGCTGGTGGCATGGTCCCTGCTTCCCCAGCATGTGCTCATCCTCCTACGTTCAGTACAGTCTGCTGCTGAAAAGGGGAACAAACAGTTCAGTTTCCTGCTGCATCCTTTCCCATTTATTTTCTCCCTCTGTGAGCTTATATGACTTGCTGGGGGCTGAGGAGCATAGTGGAAGTAGGAGCTGCTCTCTGTATGGTGTGAAACCTGTGCATGCACAGATACAGATTTCAGCAATTGGTCACTAAATACTTGCAGGTATTTCCCAGGTCATGAGAGATGTACTTGCTGTTTTTTATAAGCAGGAGTGCTAACACTGGGCTTAATCTCACTGGTGTTTTTTACCTCCTTCCCTAGTGCTGCATCTGCCTTACCCTCAACCTGAGTGAGAAAAGCTATGCAGTGCTGTCACTGAGTCAGGTGACTGGGTAATGGTGTGGGGAAGCAGCCTGAATCAGCTTCATTTGTGTTTATATTACAAATATAACTTCAGTTAGGAATGGATACGAATGTTTCTGCTGACAGATGTTGCATTGCTCACACATCCCCTGCCCACTGGCACCACGTGGCAGCCCTGAGCCCATGGCCTCAGCACCGTGTTGCTGTGCTGGAACTGGGATCTGCAGGAGCGGTGTGGGCTGCAGAGTGGTGTCATTCCTCAGCCTGTGGAAAGCTGCAGTTTCTCCTCTTGAAAGTGGCAGGAGGTTCCATCTCTGGAGGTGTTTGAGACCAGGTTGGATGGGCAGCCTGATGTAGTATTAAATGTGGAAGTTGGTGGCCCTGCCTGCGACAAGGGGCTTGGAGCTCGATGATCTGTGAGGCCCCTTCCAACCCAAAACCTTCTATGATTCTTCAGCTTTATATATTGAGAGCCCCACACCTCCCTTTTCTTTCACACAGGGAAAGAAGCTGTACTGAACAGAACACAGACTTTGAAGAACATTTTCCTTTTTTTAATAAAATACTATTGTGTTCATATCTATACAAATAATTATTACAACTATTAAACAAAGTATTACATATAACAGTAGAAATCTCAGAGCTCTGAAACAAGATCATGGGTTGAGATATTTACACCTGAATACGACACATTTGTAAAAAGATGTCAAAATAAACAGAACAAGATCTTATTTACAGTTGCAAGACGATGTTCCTCCTCGTTCATTATATTCTTCTACTGCAGATTTCCTTTCTTCATTACAAAATAAGAAGGGCTTTACACTGGGGCTGTATCCAAGTAATTTACAGCTGGATAAAACAGGAGCACAGCAGCTGATTCTGGGCTGAATATAAATAATTTACATTGTGGAGGGCAACAGCATCTCTGAATAATCTCCCGTGGCAAAATCCATCTTTGCTTTCCTTCTCACAGTGAGCAGGCAGGAACGTGGGGACAGCCTACTGCTGTCTCATTTTGCATTTCTGATTGCTGAAACAGCAAATCATATCGCAGACTTGAAACCTGCTTGTAAAAATGCAATTTGATGAGAAAGCAGGAAATGCTTTTTGTAATACAAAAATTTGCTGCTAAGGTAAGGGTCAGCAACTTTAAAGAAAAATATGCTGTTTTTTGGAAATTATCTTGCAACTTATGAATGGCTTTTGTGTAACCAAGTGAGGACCGTCAGCAAAGAGAAAATGGTTCTTTACCATCACGACCAAATATTTCTGGAAGTCTTTCACCATTCACAGAATAATTCACTAGCAGTACAACATGTGGAGGTAAAGTGTGGGTGCTTTAACTGAGCTGTGCTGTAAGGACAGCAGTGGCGGTGCTCTTAAGGGTTGACAGTGCCATCCTCCACCTATGTGTGCTCAGCCGTGGAGCACTGCTGGACTGGGCAGAAAGGAAAAGGAGCAGAAGTGAATGCAGACTGGCTGATGGAAGTGAATGGAGCTGCTTACACCGTTCTGTTCAAAAGCAAACACACAGGAAAACCCAACAATGCAAATTTGGTCATTTCAGTATGAATAAATTCAGTTCTACTCTTCCTTTCCAAGTCAAGGTGGGATTATTACTGAAGTGACAAGCATTATAATTGTGTGGGAAATAAGGCATGATCACATCTCTCCATGCATCTGACTATGGCCATCCAGAAGCAGAGGGCAGCACAGGTTTTTGAGCAGGGCTGTGTGAGTACCTACTTCTCTTAGGAGAAGTAACAAAATGATGCTTGTTACTGGAAACACCTTTGCATTTTGCCCTGCACTTTGCCCTGCCAAATGATGTGTTTTCTGCACCAAAAACCAGTCGCTAACCACAGTGGCAGCGCAGCTTTAAAGTGCGTAGGAAACCTGTGCAAAATGTCAGAGGCCCTGCGCTAGCACTGCATCTTTAATTCGGAGGCGCTCCCTTGATGGCAGCCGGGCTGTCAAACACATCCCAGTGTGGCTTAAACCATTCCTGGGAGCTGCACTTTGATGAGCCCCTTGCTCTCAGTGAAACCAGTGAGAATGCTCATACACCACCAGTTTGTTGCCTGCTGTCAACTCAGTCTGATTCTGCTCACTTTCTCCTAGTTTTCTTAAGGGATTAATCGATTAATTTACGTTGAAGAACATGCAATTAATCCCTAGGCCATTTGCAATTGTTTGCTGAAC